ATGAAAGCTGCACTCACTCCATCCAAGTCCCACCAAAGGTCACCTACAAGAACAACCAATGCACTTTGTTTCTCATGTCCAACGTCCCACAAATCCTAACAATAAGGAGTCATCCAGATAATGTGCTTCATCCAGGCACCTCTGCAGCCAACACCATACCACAATCTCTAAAACTTCCCCCACAAAACAGAAGTTGGTGATTGGGCAGAAGTTATCAACACAGCTAGATTAAGGGTGGGATTCTTTAGGAGGGGGCAAACCTCCACCTCTTTCAAGGCAGAAAGAACCACCCTCTCCCTCAAAGAGGCATTTACTGCCTTTCAAATCCAGCCACTTTTCTTTCCCTGGCTGCTTGAATGAGCCAGAAGGAGCAAACTCCAAACTCTAGGTGGCTAAATTCAAACTTTAGGCAATCCTTTCTATTTCCTCAGAGCTACAGGCTCAAAAGTATCACAGGTGATCTTGCAAGATGTTGCCTCAATCATCTCTTTGGATTCTGCCCATTTGGCATCTAATTCCTAGCAAATGTGATTTGTTCTGGGGCAGCGAAATGCTTTATAAATATATCAAAGCAGACTAAACAGAGATCTTTGGGCCCATCTTTCCCACAAAGGTCACCTTAAACAGAGCTGCTGGATATTGGTCCCTGTAATTGAAATGCTGTGCTTTTTATTTTTTTTAAAGCCATTTGTGAATGTCTTGGATAAAGATGACTTTATAACAGCATTTCAACCTTCCATCATTTCAGCAGAGATAAATTGGGCTTGAAAAGTACTGTTTTTCTTAACAGGACTCCTGCTCCTGGCATTAAAAATCTCTATTCTCTCTGCGGTCTTCACTGGCTCAGAAAAAACCTACCCTTCTTATTTGAATGGAATGAAAAAATATCTACCCCAATCCCACAGTACATATTCACCCTCCGAAAATGTTTTCAGCAGGTTCAGAGTTTATATTTTATTACAAATTAATCGGCTGCAACTCGCCCAGAGTCGACTGATTGCATCAGGCTGAAACTATGTAAGTAAACAAATTAATTAATCTCCTACTGCATGGTGCTTCAGTATTTGTGACCATGCATTTATATCAGAGGTGGACAGGTCACAGTCTGTGGCCCCAAATCATTTTCTTGGGACTCCTAAAATTTAGTATCCAGCTTTCAAGAACATAATGCAACATTCCACAGGATTTGATGAAACACACCCCTTAGCTGCCTTTGTCAAGAAAGAGACCATCATCTGTACATTTGCACACCTTTCCAGGCAGAGGACCCCAGACAATTCCCCAGATTTGTGCTATTTGCAAAGTGTCCCTGGGCTGGGGGATTTTAGTGCCTCTAGTTTTTGAGGAGAAAATGTAAGGCACATTTTCTCCCAGCAGTCAAAGATCTGCTGTCTTAATGTCCATCCCTGTGATCTGACTTAAGACGAATGAATTTCTGCGTGCATCAACAAATACCTTCTTCAACCACAGTAAAGACCCTTGTTTGACTTAAAGAATAATGACTACATTGTGCCATAATTTTACACCCTCCACTTTATAAAACTCACTGTGCAATTAACCTCAAAGAAAAGCTCTGTATGTATCACCAGGATAATATGAGAAACTAATGAGGAAGTAGACTGCATTCCTCCAAAATAAACACATTAATTTTTAAGGTTCCACAAGACTATTCACTGGATTTACTACAAGCCAACTACTATCACCTTCCTGGGAGATGTACTCTTTTCAGAAGTGATGACTGACTAATGCTATTGAGTGTATGCTTAGATCAGTGTTACTCAACCTTGGGTACCTGAAGACATGTGGACTTCAACTCCCAGAATTCCCCAGCCAGCCATGCTGGCTGGAGAATTCTGGGAGTTG